AGAGAATTGTAAAAAAAAATTAACATTCTCAAAACTCTGTTATTAAATAAATATAAAACTAATACAACTAATAAATTGGTTAGTGTTCTTTTTTTGTGCTATTTTTTACACTGCCATTTACATTGCGCCTTGACTTACGGAAGCAAATTGAGGATCGTACCAAACACCATATGTCTTTTCCTGTACATACTAGATTACAAATAATTAAAGATGGAGATTCGTATTCATTCGGAACGATTCCATCGACAGAAGATTCAAAAAAACTAAATAATGGAAACCAAATTCTGGTTCTGTTTGAATCGCGTTGCATCAATGCTTGATTATTTGCTAATGTATGATAATAAAGAAACAATCGGGAAGTAATATAAAAAGCTACGAAAACATCAATGGAATAATGTTCGTGTGCTGCTAAGATAAAAAATATACCAAACATATTGAGCATCCATGTAAAGGTATGTAAGAAATATAATTCCCTTGGTGTATCTGTAAATAAGAAACCATCAGAATTATTGTGTAATGCATAAATTATATACTGTCTGTTTAAAAACATATTAATACTTACATTCTGTAATGAAAAAATTTAACATAGTAAGGGCAACAGTATGTCCACTAAACATGTAATCACCACAAGTTCTGACTCCTTGAATAGACATACCAGCACCACGCCATATAACATAAGCCATAGCAATCTTATTATATAGTTCTACATATGCAGAACTACAAAACAGAAATATTAATATAAATCATTCTTTTAATAGTTGTTTACAGTAATAGAAAATTAATTATGCCTTGTCCAATCTTCAGGAACCTTCCGTGGCTGACATTGTAAATGTGCACCTGGTACTGATAAGGAAGTAATAAGCATTGTAACACATCTTAACAGGAAGACTGTACCAGATAAAGCAAAAAATCGTCGCAATAAGATAAACCTGCAAGAAATAAAAATGTATCAAAGATTTATAAAATAGTCCATATTAATACTTTTTTAAATACCTTAAGACTTTACTCTACCTGTACTTGTGAAAAATTAGTACGATGAGCCATATTGCAAAAAGTATAGTTCCTGTAACTTCGCACATGTCAAATGCCCAAGGAATATGTGGAACATTATCTAAAAATATATCAGGTAACGGAGGATATTTTTTCATATCAGGCACTCTATCATGAACAATGACCATCACAAAGGCAGTAATCCATGTAACAATAAATAAATATGCCAAACTAATGAATGTTTTCCAAATTTCAGGTGGTAAATGTGATGCATGACCATCTTCTGACACAGATGCTGAATAAAATTCATGTTCGATAGAACCTTCATTATTTATACCACTATTAGGCATCTGTTAAAAATATAAATTTAAACTATTGAAATATAGCTAATGTTTTATTTTTTGAAATATCTTATTTATTATCACATTTTGCACATTCAAAAAATATTTAAAAATCCATAATTTTAAATATAAACTTTTAAAAATTTTCTTCTTACTTCTTGTTTATGATGATTGTAAAAATTTGGTGAAGGAAATATGTCAATATATCCCAGTTCAAATAATACTGCCATGTTATCTCTTTGTAATTGTTTTATGCTAATGTAGAGTCTTTTTATATCACCAATTTTCTTTATATTCGTAGCTATTAGCTTTAAATCATCTTCTTTTAGAGTTAAAAGCACCTTTCCATCAATTTCATGATCAAAGAATAAAGTAACAAATTTTTCGTGTCCAGTTTCACTAAGCCACTCTGTCACATCATTTTGTGTCCACTCAGCCACATTTTTTTCAGACATTGTTTATCTTATAAAATTATACTAATCCTGCAGAAGAAAATATTACTAATTTATTAATAGTTTCCATTATAGTTATCACTGAATATAAACTAATTTATGTTATATGTCCAAGTGGTATAAAATAATTCAGCAAAATAAAGCATGACATAAAGATATGAGTAAAGTTTAAGAACATCAAAAATATAAAAATATTATGTAGATACCAATTTTAATTACTAACTATAAAAGTAATGATATTGATGATAAAAATAATTATAATGTAAGATGCATACTAACTGTATTAATAAAGTTATTGAAATAACAAAATATCACAACATATATGTACCTTCAAATTTAACCCTTAATTGTAAAATTTTATTAATTATGAAAACTTGAATTATAAAATTTATTGTATTCTTACATAAATAATTATTTAAATCATTTAGGTTTGAAGAATATATTTAATCTAACCATTGAACTTTATTTACCTACCTTAGAAATTTAATGTGTAGATTATCAAAGCTAGGTATCACAATTTTTTCGTGCGTTTATTGTACATAATATGTATATATATATATAACGTGAAAATTATAGCTTTATTGTCAAACGAAAGCATACATTGGCAGTATTTGTAAATAAACTAATCGAGATAGAATCATTGATCAGAATGTGACTGGTATACTTGAACACATTCATCACGTACTTCTTCAAGCCAAACTATAGTGTACACATCTTGATAAATTTCGTAGTTATTTAGCATAATGTCAATTATAACTCATACCAATTAACAAATATTGATAAGTTGACTCGGATAGTAACGAATAGAATTTTCAGTTCGTCTAAATATAACTGTAATAAATCAAAATGATTTTAAAGTAAGATGTCAGAAAAAGATGAAACAAACTGCGTTTGACTTCATTTTTCATGACTATACGTAACACTCAAAATATTTTCTTCTATTTAATATATTAATTTTCAATTACACACGTAGTGATTTTTCATTTTTGCAGTACGTATAAACAATTTCTACATTAACATGTGCCTAGTTCCCAATACAAATTTATACGCAACATTTACTTATAATATTGTAGTTGACATACTTTTTTTACTTTAATTTTGACTTAAGATATCATAAATGATAAGACATTACACATTGCAATAAAAAATAGTTATTCTTTTCTCATGGATTTGTATTTGTAAACTCGATAGCTATATCGACTTTAGTATCGATTCAAGATTTATATATATGCAGTTGATATTTGCATGATGTTGGCATCAATGACGTCGTTCTTGATCAGAATGCAGAATTACAAAACAGTTGCATTGTCATACTATAGTGTATTCTGAGTTTATCTAGACATAACAAGAGTAGTGTAACTGTATAGTGTGGATATTGTATCGGTAGCTAGCAGACGTATGTAATTATTGTGATTTATAACAGTTCTCCATTTTTTGTTACATGCACATAAGTGTCACTGGTAACGCCACTTGCACGTCAGACCTAAACTAACAGCATTTAATGCTGAGTTGGCAGTCTTGACGACGACAACTCTGTAACTGTACTATATATTGTATGGTACCGTGAATTTAAAGTGGAGTTCAGTAATGAATGTACTTAAGCCATATACTTAAATATTGTTACTTAATGAGCCATGAGCGGCCAAAAATTTCAATATGACGAAAGTGGCGGGACGTTTTTCTACTTTTTACTATCTTTCTTGGCACTTCTTTTAATACCTGGGACATACTATCTTTGGCCACGTTGCCCAAAACAAGGTTAGATCTGGATAAATCTATTTAGTTTAATGCAAAAAATAAATGATAATATGATAACATTCCTTGTTCATGCATATTTTCCATTAATTAAAAGAACTTTGCTATATTTTTCGCTCATTCTTATTGATACGCGATTTACTTCATAATGTTATGACGGAAGCTTAACGAACACTTAACTGTGAATATCCCGTTACTAATTTACCAATAACCTCAATAACAGAGTACAATATTTTGAACACTTATATTTGAATAAAACATTAATGAAACGTTTAATATTTACATATATACCATTTTTTAATTTGAAATTTAGTAATAAATTTTAAAGATGTATTTAATTGAGATAAATGTAATTTAAAAAATTAT